ATTTTTTGGTTTATGAAATTTCCTGTTTCTATTTACAATCATATATTCGTTGAAATCTTTTATACGGTATTTAAACATTTGCCCCGCTAGCCGAACACGTGCCTTTATCAACAACCCGTGTTTATCGTCTACAAAGACATCCTCGAATACATCGCAGCCTTCTTCAAAATGTGCCTTCAAAACTTTTTAACCGCAGTTTTGTTTAATAAATATTTGCTTCAAATTTTGGAAAGTTACAATATTATATGAAACTCTCTTTCGATTCATTGAATTCAATGGATTAAACGGGCCGTTTCTTTTCTTGTATATTCTGAATTCCTTTAACTAACAAAATAATAATAAGATAATTTTATGCAGTTTATATTTGCTTTAAACGTGGTAATAAACGTAGAAATAACTTAATGTTAATTTTATTAAGATGACCAATATTCAGAAGAGATACACGGGACCGTCCATCGGAGTTACTCTGTTTGACTTCATTGTGAAGAGGAGCATCGCCATCAAAGTTAGTCTCTTTCCGATTTTTTAAACTATATCGTTGCTTTAACAACACTACTTTAAATAACTATTTGTAATATTACGCTAACTAATTTTAAGTAATTATTTACCGATGTACAGATTTCTCATCAATAACTTTGTTACATTGCTACGTAGTATTATGTAAACTAACATTATTCTGTTATATGGCAACAGCTCAAATTACGCTAGAAATTTAATTATGTAAGCGAGCGTGTCTACAGTATCACGGTATATTGAGTATAACATATAAATTTCAAAATGTTTATTATCTTCGTTCTTCGTTCATTATCTTATGAATATTATTATATTGTTTCAGTTTTAAATTACAAAACATGTAGTCGAGTTATCTTTTCCGTATTGTGGGTTATGCAGTGTTATGTAATAGCTGAGTATCTCATAAAAGAAATTACAGGAGTAAAATAGGGGTAGAATATAATGTTGAAACGATAGTATTTAAAACAGAAAAAGTATTGCGAACAATAATAATAGGAAGACGACTTTTACTTTACTCTGTTTTATTTGGTTCCAATCTCTGACAACGAAACTCGGTGACATTTATTGAAGATGAAGTGCAGAATATCGTGTTAATTTTATTGTGTTCTATCGATGGAATTTTCTAAATTATATTGTATATTTAGTATAAGAATATAACACAATGTACGCTGTATATTTGTTAACTAATAACGAATTTTGTTCTCGTAGTTGTGGAATGCCATGCTGGACTTTTTTTTATTTCTTCTGAAAGTGGATAAAATCAGACGCGGAGAACGTTGTCCCAAGGGAGGATTGCTCGAAGCTTTCTAATTAGAAGCGCACGAGTGAATATCTTAAGAAAATTCAATCCGTATCTGTATTATAGGCACTTGTAAAGTTAAACTTCGTATAACGAACACGGAAAAGCACCCATAACGTAGTGTTGAAAGTCTAATGTGTTAGAGTGACAAGAAATAATGATGCAAAACTGGCCCGTGTTATACTCTACTCGTACGTTATATTCTTGTGAAGATTTTCGGGCATAATCGGATCTTCTAGAAGCATGTATAGTAGCCACCACACCCACGAGAACGACATCATCTACCGTTAAACCCCTGCAGATCGTCAACATTTGTGGATTTAACCGTTTATGTTTCCGCATTTCGGGTAGAATTTTCGGCATGAAAACGAGAACAAGATTATCAGAATTCTATAAATTCAAAAGATATATGTAATGCGTGTCTTTTGAATTTGAATACAGTATCTGAAAATAGGCTTCAACATGTAAAAATAATTATTTGTAGTATTTAAAACAGGTAAAGAATGAGAATTAGAAATATACAGTAAAACCTCTGTAAACCGGAATTGCGAGGTATCGAATATTTACGTTTGCTTCGGTATGTTTTCGTTTCGAATAGGTTGAATACAATGGATAATGAAATCGAATGTACTGTACAATTCAGCTAGATTAATTAATAACTTTGCGATCATTAGACAGACAAGTCCATACAGCACGATTACTCACTGATAGGGTTTGCGAAGGCTGTACATTTGTAAGGACAAAAATATTTTATGACAACTATTAATTAAAATCTCAACTCCTTTACCACTTGAAAAATAATTATAAGAGTCAAGATTCTTATAATTACACATTTCTCGGTAATCAAAAGTTTTATTTTTACACTCCCCTTCAAAAAATAAGCACGAAAGTGAAAATTGGACACAAATCAGAAACTACTGCAGCAATTTATTTGAAATTTTACAACACCATCGAAGAGGACTCTGCCTATTATTACAAAAAAGAGTTTCAAATGTAAAGCGTGACATTCAAGAAAATTGACAAAAAAAAAAATTGAACAAAACGACAGGTCATACAAATGCCATCGATACCGTGTATTAGTCATTCTCCATAAAAACACAAAAATAAATCTTACTAATTACTCGATTCGAGACAAATTGACAGTTCTGTATTATCTTACTCTCATTGTTTTATCGAATTCCAGTCGTCGCTTGTTCTCGAGAAGTCGATTTTCCGAAACACGTTCGATTCGTGAAAATTCTCGATTCGGTTTCTGGTTAATTCCAAAAAACAAAACATTAATATTAAGAAAAATCCTGTGTCCGTATGTCCGTCGCTGCGTGACTTCCGTTTCCTCGATAAGGTCGAATAAAGATTTTCTCACGCTCCGCGACAACGTTTATACCCAGAGACGATTTTTTCTTGTCTAGAAGTGAAATTTTAATATACCGCTTTATTTAGATTAAGTTACGTTCTTCGTTTCCAATAACTTCTCCCATTTGTAAGCTGGAAAAGTTCCGGCTTATATCTGGGATTTAAGATGGAAAGTCACTTCGTTTGAAGCACTTTTTCGGTTTAGACAGGTTTTCGTTGTATTCGGGTTCCGTTTCCAACAGCTTATACTGCGGTAACCGAGCTCTTTCCTTACCTTTCTCGTTTCTTATTGTCGCTCATTCCCGCAATCGGAACTTTTACAATATGGATCGAATGATTGACAAATCATCGGACGTTAATTAACGCATCGAAAATGCAAAAAGGCCCGATAATTCTGCGCGAGATTCGCAATCAATAAAAGAAAGAAAACTTTCAATAGGTATGCTGTAGGCAAACATCAATCTGGTCCAGATGGTGTCGGTATTAGAGAGTATGGCAGTCCAGATGATCCAATGGTCAGATCACAACTCCGGGATATCCAATATCGAATTCAAAGGAGCGAAAGTAGAAAATATTTTATGCGCGATCTGTCGCGGGAGTGCCTTGGCTTTCTCTCTTATCTCAANAATCGGATGGCTTTCTCGAGGAAAGGTGCTTTCGCGTATGCTACAACTAAAAAGTAATTACTTATTTTCTTCGAACAAGAAAATACGTACTTCGAGCAGTATCTTAGGAGTGATATATGATACGCTAAACGAAGCTATTTAACAGATATTTTAAATTATTTAAACAACTGTCAATACGACTATGCGGAGTGCGAATGAAAACACTTTAACGTCGATAGAGCAAGATCATTTTCGGAAAAAAGAGTAAAAGAAAATAATCTGAGCTTATTTCCATCTGCGCGCGAGAACAGCACCGATTGTGTTTCCTCGATATCGGAACATTTATCAATATTGGACACCAACGTAACAAAATATTATCCTTCTCCGGACACGAATAAATATGATTAGGTTAGCAATACATTTTCAACAGAATTACTTAATAATCTTGGATATAATGTGCCAGAGGAAGAGCAGCTTATATCTTTGTCATCTGACCGCGCTTTGAAAATCAAACACGTCGAAACAAATCTTGATGAATTTTGATATATGTCCAACGAGAACATCCGCAAATATCAAGAAAAGCCATAAAAATTTTAATGTTTTTCAACTTCATATTTATGTGAAGTAGTGTCTTCAACATTAACCAACATAAAAAGTAAAAAAAGAGAAAGGTTAACAAATTTAGGAGAAAAAATGAAGGTGGCCTTATCTGGTATACGTCCCAATATAGAAGAAATATGTAAAATATATCAGCACAAGTTTCACATTAAATGAGTTACTCGAGGAAAACTATTTTTGTGTGTAAATATTTTATTAATTATAATTCTTTCGATAAATATTAAAAAATATAGAATTGAAATTGTAACTGTCTAATTTTAACAAAGACCTGATGATAAACTTATTTCATTTTACTTTAGGTAATTGTTCCGCTTAAAAAATTTTTTCACCGCAGTGTTCCGTACTTTAGAAAAGGCTGGGAACCACTGCCGTAGACGAAGGACAAACGTGCCGTTGCAGCTGCTATTATTTGTGTCACTATCTATTTGGATGTCAATAGCCTGCCCCCGTTTACTTGCTCTCAAGTATCTACTCCCCCAACACCTCGCAGTCGGTCAGAACGGTCATCCTACATCCCAAGAGCTTAGCCCGATGAAGCTACCTTTCTCAAATTCCGTCAGCTGCGCCCAGTATACGTTCGAAGACCTCCGAAGAACAAGTACAGTGAAAATTTTGAATGCAGTCGGCCCGCGTGAACTTTATTGTAGAATAGTTGGGTAGTGATTTTAAGGCACTCTAGTGGCATCACCTGACTGGCAAACAGGCCACGGCTGTAACATTTACGGGCCTATTTAAGCCGTAGTCGCGTGCCAAGTTTTACACTAATCGGACGATTTGAATGCGTAACCATTTCGTCAATGTATACGTTACTAAACGTCATCCGAAATCGTGCTTTATCGCGTCTATGATGCCACTCTACCAACGAAACACGATCCACAAATTACGTCACGTTCTTCACCATTTTAGATTTGCATACATTATTTATTTATTTAACTAGAAACAACATTTACCACGAAAGAATTCGCACGTTGTAAAGTTTCATTCGATAATACTGTTATTTGCATACTTCGCCGAGTTCTACAATTAAATATTTACTTAATTTATCTAAAACGAAACAATTGATTTTCAATGTCATTTTAGAAAAATCCTCCTGGAGAGAAAGACGAAAAATGAGTCATACTTTACTCGGAACAGTGCGAGTTGTTAGTATAAATGTACTCTGTAATTCTTTCTACCGCCATTAGAGGGCGATTTTCTTCTACACTGGTGTGATTTATTTGTTCGTCATGTTTAGTTTAATGGCGCTCGCTCTCAACTTCTATTTTTTCGTTTACGACAGATACGTGAAAAAATATATTGGACACCACATTGAATACGAAGGACCAGCGAGAGGTAATTACGTTTTTGAAATAATTTTATATATAATATTCAAAGAAATGACGGGTGTAAGAAATCTATTGTTTAGTTAATTGTTTCCCAATAAATTTTAAATAGTTTGAGTTTCTAGTGGAACTACGTGGTAAATAGATGCTTATAGAAAGTATAACTAAAATTTGATTGTTGTTTAATGTTAAACTTTCATTATATTTATTGTTTCTTAACGCTACAAAGCAGTAACTTGTAACAAAGAGCGCAACTTGATTTCGAATATGGGAACAAAAGGGTTGGTTGTACTTTTACCATTTCAACATTTTTAAATGGTTGTTTAACAACCATTTTTAAAATGTTTAAAATATTAAATATAGATTTTTGGATACTTGGAATTATAAAACTATAAAGTGAATTTAACGACGAATTATAGCATTGTTTCTAACGCCAAGGTCAAAGTACAACCAACCCTTTGTTCCGTGTTAGCCAACGGTCCTCCTCGTTGAACTTTTAAAACGAATTTTTAAAAATATTCGTAATTTAATTTTTATTTAATTAAAATAATTTTTCTTTTCATTCCGAGTCGATACGCGAATAATGTCCGTTTTTTTTTTAAAAATCCGATAATAGTTCTCGGATTCCGGAACCGGTGTCGAATTATTGTTAAACGGGCACTATCGTCATTTCGACGCCATGTTGGAAACCGAGCTCTCGTATGGCAAATAACGATATGTCCGTATCTCGGCCTGTATAACTACGATCGATCATTTTCGCTTACGTCTGTTAACAAAACTCCTCGACAATTTTTAATTTTTTGTTTAAAAATAAATGTACGCCGTCGCAAAACTATGGTAAAAATTACGTTCGGCCTATTAACGTGGCGTCGAAATGACGGTAGACTCTTCTTTAAACGTTTATATTGTATATGAAATAACGGTAACACATTTTTAATATTTCTCGCAGCTCGATATCGCAGGATGGATATGCCGAGCGACGAAATAATGAAGAAAGCTATAGACACGTTCATGTTAAGCTATTATAGGAATGAAGCAGCCAGAGAAAAACATGGCGGTCCAAAATTTCGCAGTTGTACGGAGACATTCAATATACTACCCGATCTCTGTTACGGTTTCTAAATAAATGTTTTTGTTCAATTTTCTGCTTACGAATGTCATCGAAAAGCTACGAAAATTGTCGCGTACTCGTTTTCGAAAAGAGATTTTCGTCCAACAGTAAATTTTGTAGTATTTTAGAATAAAATTTCGAGTTTCTGTACTCGATAGAATAACTCAAATTTCACCCAATTTCTGATTTAGCCGAAAGTTTGCACGCGTGTTTATTCCCGATGATAAAATTGTTTGCAAAGAGCAAAAATATTAAGCAATTAGCAAAAAACAAGAGAAAAATTTGATTAACAGATGCAGGGAAAACCTACACTAGTCAAATCAGAACACCCCAAAATTTGTTGGTCAGTAGTCCGACGAGCATTTCTTAATTCTCTAATATACAGATGTGACGCAGTATTACGGATTCAGTATTAATTCGTTATATGGGTATAAATTACTTAAATTTAACTACTGTTAAGCAAATTGTCGTCGGAATTTTTAACTTTTCCGGTAACATTTTAAACTGCGTGTGGCACCATCTGTTATAAAAGCTTTTAATAATAAAATATTTTATTTTTAATTATAAAATGGCAAAAAACTTAATTTTTAGGATAGGGATGGGTTTTATTAAAAAAAAATTGTAAATTGTTAATGACCTTACTCGTTATTAAGTCCTCCCTACTCGAGATACGATACACAACCCTTCTATCTCCCCACCTTTAAATTAACTAGCAAAATTTAATAGCATCAATCCCTCTAATACACAAATTTCCTGCAAAATTTCAGAAATTTTCGATAAATGACAAAGGAAATATTAATTTTCAAAGAGGGTGAACAAAATTGTCCTTCCGGACACATCCATACGTGCAAAAACAAAAAAAATATGGGATGTTTCGAGGTCCCGAGTGTAAAAATTTTGACGGGGTCGTGTTTGACCGATGGGCCATACTTTCCCTCTTAATAATTTAGTATTACGGTTTATTTTTGCGGAGTAATGACTCATTTAAAATACAATAAAATCACTATTCTTTATTTTTCGGCTGTAAGAGGAATCGTGTCTATTTTGATTGTAAAGTGAAAACATTCTCTTTTTTTATAAATTAATACTCGGGCTTTATGTGGCAAACATACTTTGCGTTATTAACTGAGTATGTAAAATTAATTGAAAGAAAAAGATAAATTTACGTCGTGGTCCTCGGTCATTTTCACGACTCGGGTGGTCTATTGGTAAAAAGACGTGGGCGAATTTTAGAAAGTATTTGATACAAAATAATCCGAATTTACGAATATCTTCAATATCGCGCCATATATACTGAATTTGCCTGAAGAAATGTAGCAGACTACTACTATTCTTAAATAAGCCAGAATCGTTGATTAATCTATTGCAGTTAATATCACGCCTTCCGGAAGGACCTTTTTACGGCAAACTGCTTCCCTGTTTAAGAATTAGACACGCGACAGAATTCGGAAAACTCCCCGCGACATTCCGTTCGTTGGTCAGAAGCGAACCGGTGAACAGATCGGTGTCTGTCTATGTAAGTTTAAACCCGGACTGACTTGGGAGCCATTTTAGGTCAAATCGGTGTACTACGGTCTGTTGCCACGTGTTTGCTGTAATTTTCGCGTTGAATATTAATTAAAAATGTTTATGCGCTCAGAAGTTTTAAACTTCGAGTAACTATATTTAAATTTGACCGAATGGCCGAGAGGTCAAAGTGGTAGCTTATCGCTCTTGTGGACCCGAGATCAAAACCCAGAAAATTTTCGGGTGGTGATCCATTCTTCAACACACGGCTTCAACATTGTGGTTTTGCTAAATAAAAAGGTCTTATTAGTGCCCACGGGGCAAAAAGTTTTAAAAACTATATTTAAATAAATACGAGGGACGATCAAAAACTAAGGTTACAAAGCCTACAGTGAAAATTGTACATTTTATTGCATACAGCCAACTAATACACATACATTGTTATTTTTCGACATAGTCTCCATATCGGTTTAGGCACTTGTCACTTCGTGTGATGAGTTTGAAAATTCCCTTCTGGTAAAAATCCTGTTGTCGCGAAGTGTTTCACTTCCTCGTCTAAAGCGAATCGTCGTCCCGCTAGGTTCTTCGAGTGAGGAAACGGGAGAAAGTCGCTCGAAACGAGGTCCGGGCTGTAGGGAGGATGGTCGATGATGTCCCAGAGAAACTGCTTTGACAGCGTGGTGGTCTTCTGGGCTGTACGAGGTCTCGCGTTATCACGAAGGAAGATGACGCTCTCGGTGAGAAGTCATGGCCGTTTCCTCATTGCTTCGGCTCAATCGTGTGAAGATCTCGCAATATAGGTTAACGGTCACTGTGCGCCCTCTTCCCAAAAACTCCACCAGCGCTGTCCCAGAACATTGTGGTCACCACCTTCCCGGCAAATGGCGTCACCTTAAACTTCATCTTTGGAGAGGAAGCGTGTTTCCACTCCATCGACTACCATTTACTGCTGGGGGTGTAGTGGTGGATCCATGTTTCGTCACCCCTGACGATGCGGTGAAGAAAACTGTTCCCTTCCGTAGAGAACAGTAGCAAAAGTTGCAGACTTTCCTCCACGCGCTTCTCTTTGTTGATTGGACAGATTTCGTGGAACTAATCGGGCACAAACTTTTCAGTACTGCAGAATATCGTGAACAATGTGACGAACGCTTCCGAACGACAATCTCAATTCTACCGTCATATGCGTAACGCGATTCTCCCGTTGTCCCGAATCGGCTTCTCCACGCGAGCTGTGTTGACATCTATCGATGTCGTGCTGGGTCGGCCATTGCCATCTTCGTTGGTGACGTTTCTCTACCGACAGCATTCTGCGACACGCCGAGGAGACATTACAGTCTCCGTAAACGTCTACCGGCTGCCGGTGAATTTCAGCCGCGGTTACGCGTTTCGCCCACAGAAATCGAATAACAGCGGATTTCTTCACCAGATCGGTTTTCCAAACGAGTCACCATTTGTGTTTACCTACAACTAGCGCTGTAGGTGGTGGGTAGTCGAAACTCCGCGCAGTTGCCAACCGCACGTATTGGAATTACCGGACACGGACACTTCTCATTTCTCTATAACAAACGAAACTTCAGGAATATCGGCCTCGTAACCTTAGTTTTTGATCAACCTCGGTAAAATAATACGCTGTAATTAGAGTAAATGTAAAGAACCCGATCGAAAAAGATGATAAACCGTTTCGCGCCGGATGATGTCTTCGAGGCGCCACTTTGGGCAGAATTAAAATTAAGATATTCATACCCACGCTTTCCTACAGAAAATCTTATATCAACCCGTTATCCAGCTCGAGCCTACGGTTCTTTAAATAGGAGAATCTACCAATTTTTATTTTGAAGCGTTGTATCTGGCAAAGTAAAAGAAGATGGCAAGGATAAGCTTGATAAAACTCGCCGCTTAATTGTCGACGAAATGGAAATTGCAGCATTTCAAGATTTCCATGTCTCAAAAAATGTTTTGTTGGAAATATAAGATTAGGCGCAAGAAATAGTATAGGTAATCAACTAAAGGCCGGAATTTTAGGTGCCGCGCCGTAGTTTTTAACACCCTCAAAAAAATCTGAATTAATTAACAATTTCAATTAAAAGCACTGTATTACGTGGTAATTATTTTACATAAACGACGGCGTTTTCTTCTTACAAAGAAAGAATCGCGATCATTTCATCTTTTTTGTCGATCTTCATCGGGTCTCGTTTGTTCGGTCGAGTACCGAGCCACACCTTTTCAGAATTTGCGTTCGAATACCGATGTGGTTGTTCGTTGTGAGAGACGTCTACAAATTCGCCAACGAAAAGTTACAAAAAAGAAAGATACAAAATTCAATTATATCGCGCGGTATTCTTTATTCTCTCCGAACTGGATATTTTCCTTTCTTTTTTCGGAATCCCGATTTTGCAAACTTTATGCCTTTCTTCTATACACAAAGAAAAAGGAACGGGCTCGCCCTCTATTATCGCCGGGGTTCGTACACGTGACAATCGTGAAAATAACAAAAAAAAAATTATATAACTAACTTATGTCTAACTCATATCCATCTTATAACTAATAAAAAATAAGAGTACGGGACAGATGGTGGATGCGGAAACAAAATGTAGGGAGAATGGAAATACCCAGGATTTCTTTTGGTACGTACTGTATATACGCTTTGAGATTATGGCGCCAACTCGATATCTTTCCCTCTAAAGTCTATACGGCTACTTCTCGATATCGAAAAATTGTCTTCTTCCATTGGATTATTCGTTGTCCTTACGGCTTTTTTTTTTCGAAACCGTTTCTTTTCTTTCCTCCTCTTTCTTGCCGATCCTTAACCTTAACTTCGGGTCACCGGCACTCGCTTTTTCCTTTGGCTTTCTTCGGAACGTCACCCAGACAACGTTGCCACCACGAAATTTCAAAACGTACCGAAGCTCCTTGAAAAAAGGTACTATTTTCCTTCAAAATGTACTGTTTCTATGGTTGGTTACTTTTAATATTAATATACTATCACACTCAATTTTTGTGCTTAGTTAAAATTCATATTCACCAATACTTTATTAAATCCGAATAATTTAAAATGAAATATTTCATAAAAAGATTTTATGAAAATAGTTTCTACGGTTTTGATGTTGTTAAATACAACGTTAAAAGTTGATTTTTTTAAAAATATTATAGTGATGGATAAAAAAATTTATAAATTAAATATGCGTGGACAGATTGAAATTAAAAAAGTTATTTCTTTTACCAAGATTACCAAAATTAAAGTTCATAATTAAGAATTAAATTATAATGGTACAAAATAATATAACAGTATTTATATTATTTATACTTGTACTGTACATTTTCAAAACTATTTTGTGTAATAATTCGACTCGGACTTAACGGCTATTTTCATTTTATTGACGACAAAAGTCCATCTGTCCATTACTTTTGTTTGACGGAGTCGAATTGTTTGGACCACGTGGCGTGAAAAATTTTGTCGNAAAATAATATAAAAGTATTTATATTATTTATACTTGTACTGTACATTTTCAAAACTATTTTGTGTAATAATTCGACTCGGACTTAACGGCTATTTTCATTTTATTGACGACAAAAGTCCATCTGTCCATTACTTTTGTTTGACGGAGTCGAATTGTTTGGACCACGTGGCGTGAAAAATTTTGTCGAGGTCCTCGCGAGAATGCGTAGACGACCAAAACGTACGAAAGAGGACCGCCGAGTCGTAACATTTGCACGCGCAACTATCCGTACGTTGTTGACCGACATACGCTACGTGTATGTTGCGATTGGATAAATCAAATTAGCGAGCGGTGACACTAGCGAGACTTTATTAAAGTAATTTTTTCGTTAAGGGAGGAAATATTATTTTGTACCATAAATAATACTGAAATATTATAATGTACTAAAAATGTAAGTGTACTTTCGATGTACTCGAAAGGGCAAAATGTACCCGAAAAGTACAAATATACTAGGAATGGCAACCTCGCACCCGGAGTGACTCGTTTACCGTCTGTTTTGCCCCAGGGCCCTCTTCCTCTTTTGTTCTTATTTACGTGGAAACGATAATCCTACCCCAGGGGCAAAAGGATTAGATAAGAAGGTCTTAGAAGGAACAAAGAAACGGGAAGGAAGACTAGAATTAATTCAAAATAAAATATACAATATCGCGGCCCGCGGCCACACCGAATTGTTCGAGTACCGAGATACCTTCAGTAGGAATAGAATGAGCAGGCTGTCTCTCGACTTAGCCCAGGAAGTTAGAAAAGGTGGGGATATAGGTTGGAAGTTTGGAAGTAGGTTAGAGAGGAAGAAGAAAAAAGTGGGGAGGGGGTGGAAGAGGCAGAAAGTGAAAGGAAGGGTTTGGGATTTCCTGGACAAACGCATTCTTTTTTTTATTGAAAATAAAGGAACATTTACATATAAACAAGGTGCCAATTTGGCTGGGAAGAGTACAGTATTAAGTATAATTATACAATAAATACATTTGAAGTAGAGTATTACATAAAAGTTGGGTAGTCCACAGAGGTTCCTTGTTCGAGCTGTGTTGATGCTGTAAAGTCTGTCGGAAGGTCCTTATATGCGGGTAGTTGACGAACACGGTGAGTTGTGGTTGCTGGAAGCTGGAACAGGTTTATCTGCTGGACAAGTTGTGGAAGATGATAGCTGGATGCTAGAAGGAAATTGCGAACTAGTGATGAAACCCGCAGACTAATGCAGACAAGGGTGGAGCCCAACCGATGAGGGGGATGGGTGGCCAGTTTAAGATGGACCAATGTCAGGCAAGGAAATGCTTGTAAGAGGGCAACCCTGCGAGGAGCCACAGAAGATGTTGCAGGAGTTTATAAAATTGTTGAACACGGTGAATGTTTCTTTAGTCTCACATAGAAAGTCTGCTGGAGGTGGCCATGGCTGGCCGTTGCGGGTGCAGTGCATCCATAGAGGACCACGCTGGAGGTCAAAGTCCGGGCAGTCGAAGACATAGTGGAATACATCCCCAATAATAGTGTTGTCACAATGGCAGTAAGGAGATGGAAGTTTTTTGAACCTGTGTAGATATGCCGGAAGGTTCCCATGCCCTGTGAAGTACCGAGATACCGCCGTATTTCGTTTGTCATTTTACCAACGGTGGCTACAGTTTAAAAAAGTTTAATATCACTTATGTAAATTCGACACGACACGGAAGACTAAAAATTCACGAAAATGTATTATAAAGGATGCAAAATAAAATTAATAATTAATTAATGTACAAAATATACGCAAAATTGTTTACGATAATTTATTTTTAATCAAATTTTAGAAAGTATTATTTGTAAAAATTACTTTAAAATCGAAAAATAATGGTGAAAAATAGGAGGGCGCAAAAGCCACAGGAATACTGTTGGAAAAGTAAACCAATGACAGCTCGTTTTAGTGGAAACGGGCCGTATGATTGGTGCATTAGCCGGACGTATTAAGGCACCATACCAGAGTTTCTTTGTCCCGCTCAGGATGTACAGTTTGTTAGTTCTGGCTACAAACGTATACATGTTCATTTATGAAAAATGTCTGAAGAAGTATATTGGAAACCGAATTGAGCTAGAAGGCCCAATTAAAAGTAAGTATCGTACGTTGTTAAACCACTCTCTTTTATTAATCGCGTTTGAGTATGCAAATATCGTTAGCTATGACTTTAAAATCGTGATAATTATAATTATTAGTAACCTAACAAGATAATGTATAAAATTTTAAGTTAGTCACAAATTACAGACATCCGTTTGCTTATTCGACATTAGTGATGAGTAAGCTAATTTTGTAATATAAATTTTACAATATTTTACGGTGATTGCCTTCTTTCTATGATTTGAAATCGAGTAAAATGTACGACGCCAGAACAAATTAATACACTATTATATATTTGTCAACGTGGGACAATTATACCGGTGTTAGGCATTTACACAAGAATTGAGGAAATGTTCGGCACTTGTGCTGTTTAGGGGGTACGGCTATTTGAGAGGTTTTCTTCCTTAAAATAAATCAAATCTAGACTAATTTCATTCGAATATTTCCAAAACACGTATAATTTGGCCATAATTTGTTGGAAATTATCGATATAAATATGCTATGAACAAAAAAATTGTCGGAATACTTATCGAGTGTACCCGTTCGAAAACGCCATTGCTGAAGATTGTTTTCGTCGCGGAACGTCACATTCTTCGTACGCGTCCGCTTCCAATGTGTCACGCGTCGGCGCTATTCGATCACGTGACTACTCATCTGTGACGTGTTCCCGATAACTTATTCTTTTTGAAAGAAAGTCTGTAGGTTAACGATTAATGTTCGTGTTGACAAATATATAATAAAGTAAATAAGGACGGTAAAGTAATAATAATTAATAAAGTAATACATTGTTTAATTGGATCTTTGTTTTTACAATACGTGGTATAACAAACTGTTTAGTGTTGGGTTGGAGCGTGTCTTTCGCAGTGGTCTCCAAAGGGTTAGCTTGTTAACTACCACCCGCGGCCTAACGACGGGTGGTCCTTTCTTAAACGGAATAACGCGACATTGTGGTTTTTTTCTTTGCAGGTCGATATCGCAAGTTTATAGATTTACCGACCAAAGAAGCGATAGACAAGGCTACCGCCGACAAGTTTCGTAGACTTAGTAAGACAATGGCAGATTTACATCAAGATTACGACGATCGTTCCTTCGCGTATATCGATACCGATCAGTTGAAATTTATGAAACCTCGTAAACATAATTATCCGCTTCCTAAACCTTGGTAAACGGTATCTTAAATATTGTATTTTGCAGTTTTTTCAATGTAATTAAAATTATTAATTTTAATTTGACAAAAAAACGTTTTCGATATATTTAATAACTAATTAATTAGGCGAATGTAAAACGAAACAAGCGAGAAATAGTGTCGAATGGCTCTTTACGACGAATTCTCATAAATTTGATGTTATAAATTTAACTTTCTGGTTGTAAATCGAGGATTTAGTGGTTGTTTCTAGACTAGAAATAATCTCTTCCTAGTTTTTGCCGTTATAAAATAAAATCGTTTCTAAAGAAAGTAACTTTTAATTACTCGAAGCTTACGGTATCGTGGATAAATGTCTCTCTCGCTTTACACGTTTTGCCGGGATCGAATTAGGTTATAAATTAATATTAAATGTCTTTTTAAAACTTAGATAAGGGACATTTGATCCTTATTTAACTTATGAGAAAATTATGAAATATCGTCGTTGGGCGGTATAGATGTAGTAAACTTTGAATTACTACTAGAATCTTTTCTAACCATGCGCTTACGACGGGATAAGTTAATTTAGTACGAAAGAGTATTTTCACTGTAAATGTGTAGTATTTTACAGTCAAAGCGCTGTATAAGGCGTGGATGGCCGACTCATCTGATCTTGGCCTACTGTAATTTTTCAGTACTGTATCTGAATTACTAAATGTCCGATTTAACTTTACAAATGACGCGTTATCACTAAATCACGCCACTCTAAACCGCATTAAATTGTAGCGCTATAAAATTTACTGTCGATGCGAAGTTGTACTGTATATACTATACACTATGACTGATAAGATTGCATTACTTTTCACAACTTCTCTAAATCCGCCCCTTTGCCGGGTTGCAATTAATTTAATTTAAAATATCCGCTCTTCGCCTCAAATTAGTAGTGGCTTGCCTCTGTACGTCATACTTTTCCTGTCGGATGACCGCACGACTCTATCGCTATCTAACTCCTTTCGGGGGAAGAGTTTTCAATTGAAATAACGTGACTTTTGTTTGCATTAGAAATTCCTATATACTTATAATTGAAATCTGTAGACGCTTTAAGATGTTCGAGATACACCTCATTTTTCTTCGCGGTGCGAGAAGAGGCTTTGTCGCGATGGAACACAACTTTGTCCTCTCCTGGGTGCGTGCGAAGAACTCTAAATATGCTTTTAATTGTCTACTTAGATATTACTCATTAATAGGACTTTCTACTGGTATTTAAAAAATTGACACAACGATGAGAGAGAGTTCAGAAAAAAACAAATTTTCTTTATTATATCACCTGTAGTAGTAATTTTTTCTGTACTCTTACGCGTGTTTCGGGCTAACGTGCCCATCATCAGCAGTGTTACTAAAAACCACAAAAGCAATAATTAAATAAGATATTAAGTATGTAATAAATTCCCGACAATAAAATAGTCACAATTTTTTCAACTCGCCCTTTCTGCTCCCATATGATTTATTCCTGGGTATAGGGCTGTGTGACACCACCAAGCAGAGATGCCCGTACATTGGGCTATTGGAACACGTGGGCACCCCTTTTCGTCTAGGTTGCCCTTTTACTAATTCCCTAGTGAGCCTCAGAAAATTCGTGACTTCTAACCTATTCTGCACTTTATTGTCCATTGACCCACGCAACGTTATATGTTGACCAAAACACTATTTTTTATTTTTAAGGCCGAGTTAGCCCCGAGGGCAACCGGTGTCGCCTTGTGGGAGTGCCGATCCCACGTTGAATCAGAGTTTGAAGCTCTTCGCGTAATGTACGAGGTCCCTTTTTTTATAACTCGTGCCTCCCTCCTTTTTTCATAGTCTGTCAGCGCCGCTGCCACGGAGGGTAGTTAAAACTAACCAACAAATACTGCGATATCGATGTAATTTTTAATCATAATGTAAAAATCACGCGTCTTCCGGTCCAGAGCGGAAGTACCTATATAGTTAATCGGAGCTTCCGGCCACTAAGCTATTCATATCTGGCCTGGATTTTCATTAATTCGGTCCTCTAAATTAAAGAAAGACGTGGCAGACAGAGAGTAATGGGAATTTATAGGTCCGCAATTTTAAAATTGCAGCCCAAAAACATTACAATACGCAAGAATTTTATTAAATAATTTAAAATTTATATATGTTATTCTGTAATAAGAAGTAAATGTTTTATAATGCATTACGTAGATAATAATGCAAGAAGTTCTGTTTTGTAATTAATATTACACAGTAAGTTGCACATTTTAATCATTATTTTCAATGTTTTTGTATTACTGTACCATTATTACATATTTTATGTAAATTGTGTCTTGAAATGATACTCCAAATCCCAGCCTGGAAACAGTCCTACATTCGTTATCCAATGGCAACGGGGTTTTCCATTACCCTTGGATACCGTTACTATTCCCGTACTTAGGAGATTATGACGGATGCGCTTACGTGTGGTATGACGTAAAAACTGTCCCTCGTTGACGTAAGATACCGAAACTTAAGACTGGGCCCTATTATCGCAATCGACTCCTCGTGAGTAAGCGGATTTATCAATCGAATCGCTAAATAATTTTGTTTTAGGAACTCCTAAACCAATTTATAAGCTAATTTCTTTGCAACCTGACTGCAACGATGATGATGCTAATAATAACAGTGATGTGTTGAAAAAATTAATTATAAATTACGTATTTATATTAAGGCACCTTTGAACGCCTTTAACACCTAAATAGGAGCAAGTTTCTCACAGAAAGCCTTTCCGGAAAGCACGCCTTCATCGATCGCCCATGCGTTGTGCCTCATCACATCGTTCTTTGTATTTTTCTTTATATTTTGTTGGCCCTCCTATCACCTTACTAATTTATATTATTGCCTTCTGAGATATGATTTTTGAAGAAGTGAGAATAATTAGCAGGGGGAGATGCGGCTAAGTATAGAGGTGCTGGAGAGAATAACGAAAAGTATCTAAATTTATGCTATTTCATATATGAATCGTATTCTTTCTAACGTAGTTATATAGATAAAAAATTAGCTTGCTTCAGTATTTCAGCAATACATTTATCAAAATAGAACAGTGATAAGATAAATTTCAAGTATTATCTCAACCCGCGTTATATAAGAGGACGTAACGTGAATCGTCACTGCTGTTTGTCTCGCTCTCTCATACACACTAGACGAACATTGGAAAGAAGAATGCGTGTTGCAGTTATAGGATCGGGTGCGAGTGGCCTCACCGCCATCAAAACATGCAAAGAGGGTGGTCTGGATGTTGTCTGTTACGAACGAAGCGATTATATAGGTGGACTTTGGAGATACAGAGAGAAAGACGAAGAAGGTTTAGCATCGGTAGCCAAATCAACCATCATCAACAGCAGCAAGGAGTTAACTTCGTACAGCGACTTCCCGGCTCCAAAGGAGTTCCCAAATTACATGCACAACACTATGATGTTTAGGTACCTGGAATTGTATGCCGAAAATTTCGAGCTGATCCCCCATATTAAATTTAATCATAGAGTTGAGAGGACTGTACCCGCTGACGATTACGATTCGACTGGAAGGTGGAAGGTTACAGTTACCAACCTGAAGACCGGAGAAAAGTTGGAGGAGAACTTTGACGCAGTTATGATATGTATAGGGCATCACGTATTTCCTAACTCGCCTAAATTTCCTGGCCAGGAGAAATTTCGAGGTAAAATCATTCACACTCATAGCTATAAAACTGCCAAGGAATACAATGACAAAAAAGTAGTGGTCATCGGTGTTGGAAACTCCGGAGGTGATGCAGCTGTGGAAATAAGTAACGTTGCTAGTAAGGTAAGCGTTATTTCTTAATGTACGTTTACTATTTACTAAGAGCAATTCTATTAATTAATTTAATTGCAATTCAGAGAAGGCCTGGCCAACTTATATTAGGGTATGATCTATTTTCAAGATAAGTTATTAAGAGTAGTTTCTGCGTGTTATGTAAAATTGACAAGGAGGGGGATTCAATTTCTAAGTAAATAAGTTACGAGACATTTGAAGACATTGTTTATATTTTATAAGAGTATGTTAAGAAACTTTGACCATCTCTTTCAACATGAACTTTGGAACTGAATATTAATCTACTGTTAAATCTACTTTTAATTTAAAAGTAGATTTGACAGTAGATTAAATCGTCGATGTTAAGGTCATGTTAACGCACCACATCTTCAATTATTAGAATTTATAACGCGCAAATGATAAAAATCTCATTTTTAAATTAAACTGTTAATATTAATAATAAAGAAATTATATTAATTACAGCTGAATCTAATTAAAATTTTATAAAAGTTATATATTTTATTTATTATAAGTAAACTTAGAGTCTAAATGAAAACACGTGAAAAATATTACTGATAAAATGCATTTAATATTAATTTTGGGAGGTAAATTATACGATTTGATTTAATAATCTGGCGTAAAACATCCTGGATAAGATCAGCATTGTTTTAGTGTTTTCATACAAAGAATCCATTAACGTCATAACAAAGCGCATTAATATGCATTAGTACAGATCTTGAGGATTATAATCGAAGAGGCTTTCTCTATATTATGTTAAAGGGAACAGCTTTCATAGATTTTCTTATAAAACACCTAGCTTTTTATTTCAATAATTTAAGTTTACAAATTTGAAATTACTTCTTTTATGTAATTTGAAAGTTTTTAGTGATGTAAATTAAGGAAATTAACGTTAAACTATTAGGTTTATGTATAATAGACCGAGTGGATAAAACCACTAAAGAAGGTTACTGGTACAGGCAACACCAAAGAGGTGAGCGCGTGTAGTTTCACGTGCCTAACACTCGAATAGGATAGAGTTTCCCACCCCTCGGCATATTGGCCACGTATTGCGTTGTGTCGCCTTATCTCGTCAATCCGATCTTTTGTTTACAAGTTATCGGCTAGCTTTATCTTGTTTTATCAGTCATACCGCATTACAAGATAATTCTAATTATATTTAATTGATAGTAAATAATTTTTGAACTTTAGTCGCTAATAAATGATAATTAAGATATGCAGTGATATTTTTTGGAGAAAATTTTATTTAATTAATAAATCTTTGTTTTCTTAATTTCAGGTATACCTCAGCACGCGTACTGGTACGTGGGTGATGCACAGAGTTGGAGAAAACGGAATTCCGGTCGACGATCAGATGCTCACTCGATTCAAAAACATTGGATTTAATTTAGTACCTTTGGGTATATCTAACTGGTTCGTGGAGCGTAACCTTAATCACACATTTGACCACGAAGATTATCAATTAAAACCCAAACATCGGTATTTTCAACAGCATCCTACGGTAAACGATGCCCTTCCAAACAGAATTTTGAGTGGTACCGTAATTGTTAAAGACAACGTGGAACGTTTCGAAGAAAATGGAGTACTTTTCAAAGGCGATTCGGAGGTCACAGAAATCGACACGGTGATCTTGGCTACGGGATACGAGATCAAGTTCCCTTTCCTCGATAAAGAAATCATTGATACCACGGATAATCACATCGAGTTGTATAAATTTGTATATCCTCCCCATATGAAACACCCCACTCTTGCGGTGATTGGTATGGTTCAGGGAGTCGGAGGGCTTTTTCCCATGTTCGAGATGCAAAGTAGATGGTTTGTGCAAGTTCTAAAGAAGAACGTTTCGTTGCCTAGCGAAAGACAGATGAGAAGCGACATCGATAACCAATTAGAGAAGATGAGAAAACGGTATTACAATTCTAAACGTCACACGATCCAAGCCGATTACATTAACTACTTAGACGATATCGCTTCGTTAATTGGGGTAAAACCGAATTTCTTTAAGATGTTCTTTACTGATCAAGAATTATTTTGGGCTCTGATGATGGGCCCGAGTTTACCTTATCAGTATAGGTTACGAGGTCCTCACCCCTGGAGTAAAGCCAGAGAAACTATCTTAAGTTACGAACACAGACTTACTTACGCATTACAGACTCGTTACAAGAAACAAGAACAAGAAGAACAACGATCGTATTTTATCTATTTTGTATTTATTGTAGTTATTTTTGCTGTTTTCCTATCGAAAATTATGTAATATTAATGTAAACATGGAAGAGTTTACTCGCAAGTTTATCACAAGATTAACACAATAAAATTGTTGACGAAATAGTGTCCATCACACAATGCTTTTATTATTCTGTAGGGAAATCATTTCGGGCAGTACATAAAATGAATTCGCTGAGGCAATGCTACCCTACATTAGAAGCCATTGTATAGTGTTTCTTGATTCGTGTATAACCCGCGGATTATCTGCTTAAAAGTGAATTAGAAAAGATAAGTGTTTTTTCTTCTCTTTCAGTGTTATTAGTTTGATTTCGCAATTCGTATAACTCTCACTCTTTCAAAATTTTCTTTTAAACACGGGTTATACACACGAATCAAGAAACGCTACAATTACTTCTTACGCACCAGCAATTGGAGACAGAGTAGAACCGCACGAATTAATTGTATCACAAAGGATATTCTCCAAGTAACTCGTATCGTGTGTCATCAAGAATTCATTAAGTGCATCACTGATATAACTTAAACGCCATCTTTACAAATTTCAAACTGTTTTAACGCATAAAAGATGAACAATAGATTTAATAAAAATTAACTCCGATAAACTTTTAATTTTCAACAATCGTACAAAAAACTCAATTTTGAATAATTTATTATCGAGCATCTATTTTCTCCGTCTGTTGGGGGGATTATAAGAAATAATTCATCCGAATCGCTTTCGCCGCGAGTATGCGAAGAATCGGATTTATAATTTTCAGAAGTCTCGCAGAATTCTTCATCCTCCAGATCTTCGCACGCATCGAACCATATTTCGTGGCATTCGTCCAGCTGATCCAAAAATTGCCCTTCATCAAACTGCTCGGATAAACATTCGTCCTTTTCGTCATACTTTTCGTACGTCAGTTCATCTTCGTAACCCAAATTTCTTAATATTTGCTGTAGTTCTCGAAGGGTGAATAGTTTGCGATTATTTGATGTCTCCTCAACCTCGAGACAATGGACTGAAAATTAAAAAGGTCATAAGATTGAAGTTTGAAGTAGTTTCTGTTGAATTATTTAAAGTTAAAATGATTTAGTGAAAAGTAGAGCAAACTACTTTGTTCTTCTGTATACTATATTATTTTACTACTATTCTGTAAAACTTGTTAAACAATAGCAATACTACAGAAAAATAACAATAACAAACTATTCTACTTTTCTGTGAATGAGTATAGTTAGAAAACAGCGCAATGAATTTTCAATGTAAAGAAGAATAACGAATGGTACACATTAAATAGAGATAAATATTAAAATTGTTATTTAAAAACCCGTGATAAAAGTTAGTTGTAGAAGGACAACAATTAATTGTGATAATGAATATCTTTGTAAGAGTTAAAGAGAAGACAGATAAAGTGAAAATGACTTGTAAGGATGAATAGAATGTTCGGAATGGATATTTATAGTCACTTCACGCTTCACACGTTTCCATAGAGATTACAGATTTTATACTTTTCAAGCGAATTAATATCTGTTTCTTCAGCCGCTGGAACATTTGATACAGTTAGATATTTTTAGCTCAAGTTAGCTATGGAAAGGATCCATTATATTAATGGATCTTTTCCATAGCTAACTTGAGCTAAAAATATCTAACTGTATCAAATGTAGGCTATTGTGAACTGTTGGTCAGCGGGTCTCAACATTTTTCAGCTACTTGCACAGACATAATTTTTAGTAGCGCATTAAAGATTTCCATTTTTGTAAAAATAAACTATATTAAAAAGTAGGGAAACAATTAGCGTGTTTAAATTTTATGACAGCTCTATAGAAAGTTTAAGCACATTAAATGGGAAATAATAAACTAGATTAGTCATTCTCAAAAACAAACATATTTATTTAATTCATCTTAACAGATGAATTAAATAAAAGTAGTGGAAAAATTCCATTTAAAAGTAGTGGAAAAATTTACAAATTCTTAACAATAAACTCTAGTCAATGGAGATTTTAAGTTATACCAAGCTCTACGCTAGCGTGAATTCCTGAGAGTTTTACATTGCCTAAGGTCTGGTATTTTAGCGCCGGATTTCTATTGAACCGAGATAGAATATGAATAAGCATGTTTGAGGTTGCTTTCTTAGGAGCCTCAAACACGCTTATTCATATTCTATCTCGGTTGAATAGAAATCCCGCGCTAAAATAAAACTAGAACCGTATTATCTATGCCTAAAACCGACAATTAACACAGTTTCAATAATTAGAAAGTAAAAGTTATATTTACCCGTTACTCGATTGTCCACCTCCATTTAAAATGCTTTATAATAATCGAAATTTACTCGATGAATGAAACAAATACGTTTTAAATAAGAATTACAACAACACGCACAATACACGGTACAACACACGGTACTTTGTACTTAGTCTCGAGTTTGTTGAAGATGTCACGTGGTAAAACAACTTTAGTCAATGGTCTCGTGATTGAGATATCGCGCGTTTGTACCCCAAACTTGTATGTTTCTATTTACTCAATTCTAAACTACCCAAGAGTCCAAAAGTACCATTTAACAAATGAAAATTTTTCACTTTCATTAGTGAGAACGTTTCACCAACGTTCGGAAGGTACCGGGTCACGTCGATATCTTAATTATTCACTCCATTAGTCACCGTTAATTATTGAAATTCCAGCTTTAACAAAGAAGATTAAATAAATTTGCAACTTAGTATATCGTCATTATATTAATATTAAAAAGACTAAACATTAAAATATTAAGATTTAAAGTACGGGGTCTTTATAATTAAAGTTTCACTTTTTACGGCCATCAAAGCGAAACTTTAATTATAAAGACACCGTATATTAAGAATACAAATAAATTATTTTTAAAATTTATTTCCTGTCTCACTGTTATGCCTGTTATTTACATTCTCTATAATTGATTTATGAGTCACGAATCTTGGCAGTGGCGGTAAGCAAATTTAGGGGGCCCCGTGTACAGTTTGGACTTCGGGAATTTTTGCGGT